AAAAAAAAAAAAAAAAAAAAAAGAAACCATCTAACATAGTCTTTGATGCTTTTCTAGGAATGGATATAGTATAGTAATGACCACCAGTCTCTCATCAGATGTACCTGTTGGGTACTTCTCCTGGGCCGAGTATGATATCATGGCACCAGTGCAGGCTAAGACTGAGAATGCCCTTGCAGCTGCTTTCATTTCAAATTGTGATGCTCGTAACTTCCGCTTGGAAGCTCTTGTGGCTCTTGAAAAACTGAACGTCACAATCGATTCATATGGTGCTTGCCACAGAAATCGTGATGGAAGCACAGGTGCAATTTATTAAGTTTTCCTTGTGACCACAAATACATATATTGTTTTGTTCATCTGTTAAATCGCTAGGCTTTAAGGTTTAGATTTGTTTCCTTGTTGTTTGTAATCTGCTTTTGATTTTAAGTCACATAACTATCAGTTTTTCTTCCTCTATGATTAGTTCTCATCTTATTGTTTGTGATTAAGAAAGAGGAAATTTCTCATAATTCGTTGTTTCTAATTTAATTCTAGTGTTGCATTTGATGGCTTTTGCTTATCAGTCATTATTTCTGTTATGTGCTTAAATGATAATGGAGTGCTTCTAAGTTTTGCTATATTTTAAATCCTGAATGTGACAGACCTAGGAAACATGAACACCTTCGACTTAGTTTGAGGCTTTTTTTAAAAAAATTAATTAATTAATTATTATTATAATAAAAACATAAACTTATATTCAACAAAAGAGCCAAGAAGAGCAGCCTAATGGCAAATGGTTGAGATTACCCTTCCCCACAAAACTGATTTGTACACCACCAAGAGACATTGTGTTGAACCAAAATCCAAAAAGAATTATAAAACGGGGACTTATCTTCGGGAAACCGGTCATTCATTCCCCATATTACTTTGAGGCAAATGGATACACTATTTTATGATGATTTTCCACTTTGGTTCAATCTTGGTTACATTTGAAACGTGTAAAGGATGCACTTTGCGACACACTCAAGTCATACTGTTGCCGGCACTAATAAAAGAACGTGATAAGTTTTCAAGCTAAAAATGTTTACATCAAGTAACTCCGATACTAATAAAGAATGTGAACCAATGAGATGTAGGAGATGTTTGAGTTGAAAGATCTGTTCATGAGGCTTTCATACTTGGTGGGTTATTTGGCTCATTTTGCTGTATAATGTATGCCCTTAGAGAATATAATTTACTCTATGATATTCTGGTCATCTCATAAATACGTCAGATGCTTATACTTGGTTTGTTAAACTTACAGGGGATCAGAGATTTGGATTTTTACCATTTAATCGTAATGAAAAGTTTTGTAATACACATTTGAATTGGCTCTTTGCAGTGAACAAACTAGAGACTATAAAGCACTACAGGTTCAGCTTGGCTTTTGAGAATTCCAACGAGGAAGATTATGTGACTGAAAAATATTTCCAATCTCTAGTTGCTGGTATGCAAATTAGATCACTTCACTGACTCTTGGATATTCTTTTTTCCCCCTCGAATGATTCATTCAATAATGAGGTCTTACGTGATCATATTTCTTTTATATGATTGCATATTACTTGAATTGTAGTTTACAACGATGAAGAGTGGGTTGAAAGTTATTCCCTCATGTTTTCAAATTTTATATTTCAATTTGTATTATGGGTAGTGGATAAAAAATTATTCCACTTATCGTTCCAAAATCCAGTCCTTGTATGTGAAAGCTGAGGGTTTTTTTCTTTTTCTTGTCGTTGTTGTAGGAGCCGTTCCAGTGGTTATTGGAGCTCCAAACATTCAAGAGTTTGCTCCTTCACCTGCTTCGCTTTTGCATATCAGGAAGCTTTCAGATGTTGAGTCAGTTGCCAACTCTATGAAATACCTTGCTGCACATCCTGAGGCATTCAACAACTCATTGAGGTGAAAATTAAATTTGTATTTGTTTGTTCATTGGACAACTTTCAGGTCTATATTCTGAAGTTCCATCCCAACTTTGTGCATCTGGTCTTTCCCATTTTAGGTGGAAATATGAGGGTCCATCTGACTCTTTCAAGGCACTATTGGATATGGCAGCAGTTCATTCGTCATGTCGCCTCTGCATTCATTTGGCAACTGGTATTCATGAGACAGAAGAAAAGGGTCTAGCGTTTAAAAATCGACCCTGTAAATGCACCAGAGGTCCGGAGACCGTTTATCACTTATATGTGAGGGAAAGAGGAAGGTTTGATTCAGAGTCCATTTTCTTGAGGTAATCTATATACTCTTTTCAAGATTACTGGATCACTCAGAGTTGGGATTTACTTTCTAAGTGCTTCCAAACAAACCGCCTAAGTTTAAGATTGTGAAGGGTTTGAACTATAGGTGGTAGCATGCAATGTGATTAGACTTGTTAACTCTTTAAGTTATACGAACTTAACTGGTCCAAATATTCTTCTGCGGAACAGAATGTCTAAGACCTTAGTTTGCAGGTCTAGTAATCTGACGGTTGAAGGGCTGGCGTCAGCAGTGGTTGCGAAGTTCAAATCGCTGAAGCACGAACCGATTTGGAAGCAGGAAAGGCCTAAGAGCTTAAAAGGAGAGGACGAATTAAGGTTGTATAAGATATACCCAGTTGGGTTGACACAGAGGCAAGCTTTATATACCTTCAAATTTCAGGGGGACTCTGATCTCAGAAGACACGTGGAAGATAACCCATGTGCCAAATTTGAAGCCATTTTTGTATAGTAATTTTGTAAATGTTCTTTTGAGATAGATACTGGCTAACACCCACCTTAGTTTAGAGAGGAAATTCACTGGTATATGATCTCTTCACAGGAGAACTTAATACTAAATTTTCATTTGTTTGGGTCCAAGATAATTTCATTTTTCATTTTTCTTTGGGAGAGTTGTTTTTGTTAGGAATTATGAACAACCATAATAGTATGATATTGTTCACTGTGAGTATAAGTTCTCATGACTTTGCTTTGAGTTTGTTGAATGCTAAATGATGTGCTATAGAATGATTTTACATAAAAAAGAATAGATTCAAATGTTGGTTTGTGATGGTTGAATACAATAAAGTTGCATCTTATAAAAGAATTTTCAGATTTCTATATTAATACGAGCATAGTTCAATTTTTAAGGTACTAACATTACATCGTACAGAGCTTTAAGTTATCTAAAATAATTGGTCTGAGACAGACAAAATATTGGGAGGAGACTGTGGTGAACCAGTTTCAAGCAAAAAGCTTCTACTACAATATGATCTAGATGTGCTTGATGAAGAAGCAAGGTACCTTCCATCTCCACACTGAAAAATCACATCACTTTTATGCATTTTTCTCTTGCTCATGCTCTGCCTCCCTTCATTGCCTCCATATTCTTCATCATCAACAGCTTCTATGAGCCCTTGATGCATCGGGTCCGAACTCTCGTACAATAGACGAAGCACCTGTTTAATCGAGGGCCTCGTCCTGCCTTCTCCCTCAGTGCACCATCTCACAATTGACACCACTGTGTGAAGTTGGTCCAAATTAAAAGAACTCTTGATACTTGAATCTACTAGTTCGGATATCCTCGAATCTGAAATCATGTACGCCAGGGACCATTCAACCAAGTTCTTCCCGTCTTGTATCGCCCGTCTGCCAGTAACTATTTCCAGAAGTAGCACGCCATAGCTGTATATATCACTTTTCTCAGTAAGCTCTTGCGTGATAACGTACTCAGGATCCATATAACCTGAAAGTCATTAGCATTGTGATATTATTAGCTTATGAAACGGTAATCAAACCATAAGTTGAACAACTCGTTGTCTCCCAAACCTGGCGTTCCCCGGATATCGGTATTAATGGGTTCAAAGAAAACCGAACCACCCTTTGAAGCGTGTGCAAGGCCAAAATCGGCAACCTGGAAGATAAGATAGGGGATAATAACAGGTTCAAAGAAAAGGGCAAGATTTGTCATTACAGATGAATTTTCCAAGTTACCTTAGCAACAAAGTTCTCATCCAGCAAAATGTTGCTGGACTTAATGTCTCTATGACATAGTGGGGGATCACAATAGTAGTGAAGGTACTCCTGCAGAGGACAAGTACAAGTGAAAATGGTTTTCCTTCACGAAAAAAATTGCTTACAACAGCTTTTGAAGATGCTATTAGTTCATTAGCTCTTGATGGAAACAGGGATATCAGCAAGCTACCAGAGCATTAGCGACATCGATGGCGATTTGGATTCTTGTCTGCCAACTTAGAGGGGTCCTGCCAGGAGCTGCACGAACGTGAGAACGTATTCATTTATACACTAATCCAAGGGAGGATGATAAAAAGAATCTCTTTCGTTTGACCAAAATACTTCACAAAGCCTAAAGCACTACAGAAATCATTTTTAGGCTTTCCCTTTAAGGTTTTAAAACGCGTCTGTTAGGGAGCGGTTTCCACACCTTTCTAAGGAATGTTTCGTTCCCCTCTCCAACTAATGTGATATCTCACAATCCACCCCCTATGGGGCCCAACGCCCTTGCTGGCACACTACTCAGTGTCTAGCTTTGATATCATTTGTAACAGTCCAAGCCCACTGCTAGCAGATATTATCCTCTTTGAGCTTTCTTTCAAGGGTTTTAAAACGCGTAGGTTAGGGGAGGTTTCCACACTCTTATAAGGAATGTTTCGTTCCCCTCTCTAACCGATGTGGGATCTCACACTTTCCAACCATATGGAACAAAAAATGGCTCAAACGGAATTTCATCATGGAATCTTCTTTTCATTCTAAAAGGAAAGAACAAATGAATACGAGTGTGAAGAAGAGACGAACATACCATGAAGATGATCCTTCAAGCTTCCATTAGCCATATACTCGTAAACAAGAAACCTGCAAAGGGAAAAAAAAAAAAGAGTACCCATTTCATGTTGTCAGCATATGATGTTAAATGCCTCCCCAAAAGTATAACGTTTAGTGAACTACCGTTCATGCTTTTCGACACAAAAGCCTCTTAAAGCAACGAGATGTCGGTGATGTAATCTCGCAAGCAGCTCAATTTCTCTGCCAAATTCATCCTCCCCCTGCTCGGAGACTTTGTTCATCCTCTTCACAGCTAGCACTAAGTCTTCATTGAATTGAGCTTTATAAACAGTCCCGTATCCTCCTTGTCCAATTGTTGTACTAAAACTATCTGTTGCCTTCTTGATCTCCTTATAGCTGAACTTTTTAAACATGGAAGGTCCTGCATGGAAGTTGCTAATGCTAAGCAAAGAACTTGAAAAACGACAGGGCTAAAGATAATTCGTCGAACCTTCCTGATACTTTTTGATGGGACGAGAAGGGAAGGATCTTGAAGAGTTCGCATCCGTCTTCTCGGAATCCTTTAGCTCTCTGCTTTTCCTTCGGATCAGCACAATCAAGACAACCAGCATCATTACAGAAGCTACAGTCACTGCAATGCCAATACCTGCCACTAATGTTACATGGTAGGAATGATGTCGATGACGTTTACCATCAGAAACACCTAGCGCCAGTGGCCCGGGACTTGCAGCAGCTGATGGACTTGGGGAAATATCCGGTGTAGCCAAAGATGGAGGTGGAGCTGAAAAGTGCATGAAAATTGAAATCACACTATACTCTAAGTAGGAGAAGAGGGATTTGAGAAAAAATCAAATCACCACCAAATATGCTGAACAAGAAAATCATGAGCAGAAAAATAGTTCCCTTCTCTCTGTGCACCATCAGCTCACCCAATATCCTCTTGAGCCCACCGCTAACAGGCTTCCCCTCAAGGTTTTTAAAACGCGTCTGCTAGGGAAAAGTTTCCACACTCTTATAAAGAATACTTCATTATCCTCTCCAACCAAGGTAGGATCTCACAATCCACCCCCCTTGGGCACAGCGTCCTCGCTGGCAAACCAATCGATGTCTAGCTTTGATAGCATCTGTAACAACATTCTTTATAAGAGTATGAAAACTTTTCCTTAGCAACACGTTTTAAAAAAAACCTTGAGGGGAAGCTCAAAGACAACAGTATCTACTAGTGGTGGGCTTGGGCTGTTACAAAGAGAATAGCCTAAACAAGGAGCGGGGCTGGTGATCTAAGGTCTAAAACTAGGTGCTAGATGGAATAGAACAACGTGCATTAAGCAAATGCTAGCTATTGAACTTCAAGTGTTTGCAGTAATAAACAGCAGAAGAAAACACAGCCTTGCAAGGATCACCAAGCCTGTCTAGCTCTTTCAAAGAGAAATAAGCTTTCTTATATATTCCTTACCTGGAGGCCTGTTAAGACCTTGAACTCCAAAGAAGCAGCTTGCAAGATCAATCACTGAAGCAGCATCAAGTTGGCTAGCAAGTGCAACAAACGTAGCATCACGACAGGTATTCAATGTTATATTATCTTCTCTCCCAATAAGATTGCGGAGATATAAAATCCCAGCATTGATACACTTCCTACAAGCACTCTCCTCTGATAGCAGCAATCTGCAATTCTCCCCAACTTTCGTAAACTTCGGAGATTCCAGCATCTGCGTGACGGTTTCTCGGCCTCTACACGCGTAGTTTACTGGAATTTTCGTTCCAACCCCACAGAAAACCATGGCATTTCTAGGAACTCCATAGAGTTCCATGGTTTGAGATATAGATTGCAGGCAAATGTTGGTTAAGTTTGAAGAAACTCCTAGTTCACCAGTTGAATTTGCAAGCTGAGCCACAGAAACTGCAACAAATGCATTGATATAGCGACAGCACTTCCCTCTTTCGTTGGGGTTAGAACAAATAGAAGCAACTAAAGTAAAGTTTGATCCACTCAAGTCCAAGGGACAATCTGTGAAGTTTTCAGAACAATACGAAATTAGAAGCTAACCATTTGAATATAATGCTTATTTCTGCAAAATCAACATGAAATGTTCCTCATCATGCCCAAAAACAATGAAAGAATCAAAACCAAGCTCAACAAACCCATGAAAGCAACCTCCTAAGTGTCGAGGATGGTTGGGAGGGGAGTTCCACGTCGGCTAATTAAGGAGTTGATCATGGGTTTATGAGTACGGAATACGTCTCTAATAGTATGAGACCTTCCCAGAAAATCAAAAGCAAAGCTATGAGAACTTACGCTTAAAGTGTACAATATCATATTATTGTGGAGTTTCGTGATTCCTAATAACAAGGTCCACAAATAGAGGGTAAAAAGTATCCCAGAAGTCAATACAGATGCACATTTCAAATGGACCTTCTTCAAAGACAAACCAGACCGACAAACCCTGAATCATTCCAGAAACCTTTTCCATCGTAGATTCACCGTATTCTAAAGAACACTAAAAACCCATATCGACGAACACGATTGTTCTCAAAAACTATCACTAGATTAGAGAAATCGACTCCAGAAAACAAATCACAGTGAAAAAGGAAAGATCAAAAGAGAGAGACCCAGAGATGGATTGCGTTTGAATAATCAAGCAAATGGGATTAAGAGACTGACCCGCCATTGTTTCAGGAAGCTGCAGCTGAAGAAATAGAAGAAACCCCATTAGAAACAAAGCTCTGCTCAGTGCGGTGGCCGCCGCCATGATCAAGACAGAGATCCTCTAAGTTCACGCCGCCGGAGCTAGCAAAGATGCCGGTGGCGACCGTTTTGGCACATTTAAGAAGCATCAAAAGGGGAGAGTGAGGAACCTCAGAGCAATGGACTTTCAAATGTGAACGCGTTTCAAATCCGTTTCTCCCAATTTGTTATATGGTTTCTTGTTACATTTCCCACGAAATATATTAGTACCCAAAAAACCCATGTCAGTGCCACTGACAATTATAAAAAGTACCCAAAAAAAAACGGGATTTAAAATTTGGGTATCGAAAGAAGAAGATTACATATTGTATGAACAAATGACGTCAAAAAACGCCCACCAAACAATCTTCACAGTACATTTATTAGAACAATACGGAGTAATTGACAAAATACGTATTATTTCTCATTAATTTATCACATTCTAACAGAAATCATTTGTTTCCATGTTCAATTATTGGATCAATCCAGGTTTAGAAAGCTAAAACAAAAAGGAAATGGCAATAAGAACACATTATCCTAAATGAAATCTTCCTTTTTTTTTTTTTTTTTTTTTTTTTTGTTCTTTTTCACTTTAGTGCAAAGGAAAATCTGAAATTCTTTAATCTTAGCCGAAGAATATCTTGAAAAAGCCTACTCTTACGCTTCCAAAAAGCTTTCATTCCATAACCAAGTTCATGATTACTGAAAATTATATGAAATGATTCGTTAATTACTTCATGGTGAAGCTAAAACTCAAAACATAAACACCCTGAGAGGGATATGAAATAATTTACAAGCAGGCTGCAGCACATAAAAATGGGTCAAGAACAGTTTCATAATGCAAGTCAGAGAGAAAAGGACCACATATTCCTATATCCATTTCCTCTCCTTTCTCTCCCACCTCTACTTCTCTCTCTCTCTCTCTCTCTCACACACACACACACACATAGAGAAAAAGACCCATTTCAGGAACCTCTCTCTCTCTCTCTCTCTGTATGTAGTATATACATAGTAGAACCGAGTAAACAAAAACCCTTTTCCCCCTTCTCTGTCTCTCTCTCTGTATGTAGTATTATACATGGTAGAACAGAGTAAACAAAAGCTCTCTCTGTCTCTGTCTCTGTCTCTCTCTCTCTCTCTTTCTGCCTCTCTGTCTCTGTCTCTCTCTCTCTGTATTATACACAGTAGAACAGAGTAAAAAAGACCCATATAAGCAAAATCCCATTTTCTCACATACGCTCTTTCTCTCTCTCAATGGAATATTATAGCATTACAGAGAGAGAAATGGACTCATATAAAGAAAATCCTCAATTAACTTTACCATAGTAAAGCAGAGAGGGAAAGAAACCCATATAAGCAAAAACCCATTTCCCCCCTTCTCTGTTCTTAACAGATATTGCATTGTTCTTTTTCATGGAGCGAGCTTTGTTCATCAGAAGTACAAAATGTAAACAAAAAAAGAAAAAAAAAAAGCAAGTGTAAGCAAACCATGTCGTTGGAAGTGACAGAGTGAGCATGTGAAACTATAATGGAAGTGGGTGGAAGCGACAGAGTGTTCTGTAGCGCCCACTGTTTCTGCTTTTGTGCTCTGTTTTTTTTCCTTTCACTACCTCCAAAACACTCTCTCTTCGATTGTGTGTGTTCACAGACTGTCTTTTAGTATTAACAACATAAATTAATGTATGTTTTTTTTAATACTATGTTTCATGTCTTCTTTCTCTTTGTTGTTATGCTCTGTCAACGACAAAGCTTAATCACTTTGTTTAATATGCAAATACTTTGCTTCAAATTGATCTTTCTATTGTTTATCTTCATAATTATAAACCCTAAACCCTTTCTCGTGACTCTAAAATGGGTCTTGTTCAACAAGCGTCTTGTCAACCTTAGAGATGTCAATAGATAAAAGGTGTAATGAATCAGGTTGAATTTGGTTGAGAGAATTTTTTGGACCAATTCAAAAGTACTAGTTAGTTGGATCGGTAACGTTCTCTTTTGGACCTCTCAACTAATCAGTAAGTTAGTGGGCTGGGGCCGAGATTGGAACGTGGTTTGAGTCGAGGAAGGGGATGAAAATTATAATCGTTGTTCCCAATCCCATTTAGCTAATGAAGAGAAATGTCTTGTATCGAAATTTCTTGAATTACAAGCAAATTAATTAAATTTAAGGTACGTTTTTTTTATTATTCAATGTATGTATAGAGGAAGATTCGAACGTCGATTCTTGGTTGAGATTACTTTTAACTAGTTCTAATTTTTTAGGATTATTGAGCTTCTAGACATAAGTTATTTCAAACTATTTTTAAGGCCCACTAAACGAAAATGGGCCGAACTTATAAAGCCCACTTAACCAAATTTGCACTTTGAATCCAGAATTTCTTCGGCCCATCAACTAATATCACTAACAAATATTAAATTTAAGGTGAAAATGCCACGTGGGATATTTTTAGATTTATTTATTGGGTTAATCACAATAAACAACTTCAAGTCACTGTCAGCAGATATTGTCAATTTTTTAATTTTTTTGGTAAGAGTGTTGCTTTAAGATTTTAAAACGCGTCGGGAGAAGTTTCCATAGAACCCTTAATGTTTCGACGAGAGATCTCAATAAATATGGATATAACTGGTTAAACTAAACCGAAAGACAACCTAAATATCTTAGAAAGAAGGAGTTATGTTTGGGAAACCTTTTGGTCACAGAAAAATGAGAGGAGAAGTATAAATTCAAATCTTTAAAAGGATAAAAGATTAGTATTTCTTAAAAGGAACTCATTATATTTGGTTAATCTTTCACAATTACACGCCGTTTAACAATAATATTTTATGATTAAATAGATAGTTTAGATAATTATCATAGGATGGTTATATTAGGTCTCATTTAATATCGATTGCATTTTTTTTAGATGAACACGACTCTTCACAATGGTATGATATTATCCATTTTGAGCATAAATTCTCGTGATTTTGGTTTGGGATTCCCAAAATGTCTCGTACTAATGGAGATGGTATTATAAACCCATAATGATCCAACAATACAATAAATAATTACATAATTACAAAATTACAAAAATACAATAAATAAAGTTGTGTATTATTATTAAAAATAATACAATTGAGTCAGATGTGAGAGTGAAAGAAGTAAATGTCCGTACGACTCTGCGCGCATTACAGTTGAGTCCACAGCGTTCCACCGTATGAACTCTCCTTTTCGTTACTTCAAAGACTTTCCCTCACTCCCCTTTTCTCTTTCAATGTTCTTCCCCGATTCCCACCCATTTTCCCACCTATTTTCCCGGAAAATTTGAACTCTCAACCCGGAAAATTCCCGCATTGAATCTCCCTTCCAATTCTCAGCGCCAAATGGGTTGTCGTTATTTCTTGGGGAGATTACCTCTGACAGTGGCTCTGTTTCACATTCTCTTCCTCTTCGATTCTTCTTCAGCTCTTCGGGTTTGTTCCGATACCCATTTTGTTGTTTTTCCTTTTCCAGATTGTGAGACTTTCATCTGCGATTGTTTGGGTTTCTCTGTTTCTTCATCAGGAGGGGCGTACGTGTATTTTGAACAGAAACTGTGACGCCGGATTGCATTGCGAGACCTGCTTCGCCGACGGCAATGTCCGGCCGCGCTGCACTAGAATCCAGCCGATAAGTCCGATTTCGAAGGTCTGTAGTGGCGCTCTTTTTATTTCTGTTCTTGGAATTGTGGGTTCTTTTGATTTTAGTAGCGGAATTTTTGGAGCAGGTGAATGATCTTCCGTTTAATCATTACGCATGGTTGACGACCCACAACTCGTTCGCGAAATTAGGGGCGAAATCGGCTACTGGGTCTCTGATTCTTGCTCCGACGAATCAACAGGACTCCATTACTAGTCAGCTCAATGTACGTTACTGCCTTTCCTTTTCCTGCTTCGTTATTGTTTTTTCTGTTCATCCTGTTTGGTTTGTGGAATATTCAAGAGAAGAGTAAAGGAAACTTAACAATTCTGAACGTTTATTGGGCTGTTTGGTCCACCTGCCCTGAAAGCGAAGCTCTTATGTAACTGGAAAGGTCAAAAGTCATTTGTTCTTCCCTCTTTCAACCCTAATTTGCTCCCATTTGCACACCTTTTTCGGCTAGAATTACTTAGAGTGAGCTTGTTGAGAATGTTTTGATGTAGATAGAACTGAAATCTTGAGGAATTAAGGAGAAATATATGCTAAAAATGGTAAACATGTTGAAATAGTAAAAGAAAAGGCTAATATATAGGTAATTGAGGTGAAGAGATTTGAAATTGATGGGTTCTTGACCTCAATTCTTGCTATTTGAATGGAATATGAACTTGTTTGGATTGGATTGAATTGAATTGGTGATATTAGTCAGGATTCACTGATCCAACTAACACTGTTCTTAATTCAACATGTAGAAATGGGTTATTTTTTATTTTTTAGAAAATGATCCAAATGAATCAAACCAACACAATCTTGCCCAAATGCCATAGCTCATGAGGTTGAACTGAATTGGTTCCATATCTTGAATCATTTAAAAGTTATATGCATAAAGCATAAGGAAGTTTATGATCCTGCCCCGCCTATGTGCAGTTCTATTGGGAGTGGTAGCCCTCTTTTAGGGGTTGCTTTGTTTAAACTGAAAGAAACATGAAAATCTTTGCTTGGCAGCCCAAATCAGCCGATATCTTGACCTAAAGTACAATAAGTTTTGTTTCCACTACTCATATATTATAAATATAATGGTTAGGCGTGTGGTTTCTGGTTTATTCCTCTATTGTTTTTTTATCATTTTTGGTGCAAGCGTGACTCAGTCACTTGATTACTCCACTCTTCTTTGTCTTATCCATTTTCAAATATGCTTGTGGCCTCTCTCTCTCTCTCTCCCATGTGCTTATGAATCTTTTGGTGCTATGTTATAATCCACCTCTCCCCTTCAGGGTCCAGTGTCCTCTCGTTAATTTCTTCAATCGATATGGGACCCAACTAAATCCACCCCGTTCAGGGACCAACGTCCTTACTAGTACACCGCCTCGTACCAACCCATTCGGGGAACAGCCTCCTTGCTGGCACATCACCAGTGTCTAGCTCTGATATCATTTGTAACGGCCCAAACCCACCGCTAGCAGATATTGTCCTCTTTGGGTTTTCCCTTTCACACTTTCTCTCAAAGTTTTTCCTCAAAGTTTTTAAAACGCGTGTACTAGTGAAAGGTTTTCACACCCTTATAAAGAGTGTTTCGTTCTCCTCCTCAACCGATGTGGGATCTCACATTATTTCTTTCATGTGCGGGTAAATTTTTAGTCTAGTTCTCTATTTTAATTGGGAGGAAAGATAAGGTCGCTTGAGAACTACTTAAAACTACATTGGCCAAATAATGATGCTCTCTTGACTCTTGCAAAAGGCAGTCGAGCCTAAGGGACTCGAAAGAATGATAAATCTTTAAGGAAAAGCTACCTTAAAAAAGTTTCATGCTTCTTAGGATTACTCTCAGGCAGGGCCTTACTTGTGGAATATCTTGATGACCCTTTTAACAAGAAGAAATGCACGTGATCTATAAACCATATTTTTATGTGATTGTTATTGTAGAGCATTTCATAATCGATTAACGGTGAGATCCCACGTCGGTTGGGGAGGAGAATGAAACATTCTTTATAAAGGTGTGGAAACCTCTTCCTAGCAGACACGTTTTAAAACCTTGAATGGAAGCCCGGAAGGGAAAGCCCAAAGAGGACAATATCTTCTAGCGGTGAGCTTTGGTTTATACAGTTTAACAGCTTGATAAAAGTTGTGTGGATTAGATTAAATGTCTCTAATCAAAGTAACGATGAGGTATCTATGAAATGGAAATGGTTCTAATTCTTGAATGATATCTACATAAACAAACACGTTCGGTTCGATACAATTCTGAATGATATTTTCACTGAATATTGATACTTTGTAATGTTCAATTTTCATATTGCAGAATGGTGTTAGAGGATTTATGCTTGATATGTACGACTTTGAAAATGGTATATGGTTATGTCACTCTTACGGAGGCCAATGCTTCAATTATACAGCTTTCGTAAGTACGCATTTTGCAGACTTGTATTTTGTGTTCTGAAAATTGGCTCAATATACCGTTCCTTTCCTTGTTTATGTTATTTTGAACAAGTTCATACAAAACTTTAAATGACCAGCAACCTGCCATTAATGTTCTCAAAGAGTTCCAAGCATTTCTTGAAGCAAACCCTTCCGAAATCGTCACCGTCATCATTGAAGACTATGTCACGTCTCCAAAGGGCTTAACCAATGTGTTTGGTGCTGCTGGTCTGAGAAAATTCTGGTTCCCAGTATGGAGAATGCCCAAAAATGGTGGAGATTGGCCCATGGTTAGCGACATGGTTCGGAAAAACCAACGTTTGCTCGTTTTTACTTCAAAAGCTTCGAAAGAAGCGTCTGAAGGAATTGCATATGTATGGAGATACATGGTTGAAAACCAATGTGAGTTCGTTTCATTTTTTCAGTAGAATGAATAAAACGTTGAGAATCCAATAGGTTTTCTTATTGATTCAACCATTTTGCAGATGGGGATGGAGGAATGATAGCAGGTTTGTGCCCGAACCGAGGCGAATCACCAGCGATGAACACGACTTCAAGGTCGCTCATAATCGTAAATTTCTTCAGAAGTGCCTCGAATTTCCCTGAAGCTTGCAAGGACAACTCAGCACCATTACTCAACATGGTGAACACCTGCTATAATGCAGCAGGAAATAGATGGCCTAACTTCATTGCTGTTGACTTCTACAAGGTTAGTAAGTACAAAACTAAATCATTAGAACAGCTGCTTCTTGAAACTGATAATTGATATATGGTATGAACATATTTCAGAGGAGCGACGGGGGAGGAGCTGCCAAAGCCGTTGACGTTACAAACGGTCACTCTGTTTGTGGATGTCCAAGCATTTCAAGTTGCAAGGTTAGCAATTACCACTATTCTTTGATGACATATTCTCAAAAGGGTTGGATGGTGAGATCCCACGTCGATTGGGGAGGAGAACGAAACGTCCTTTATAAAGGCGTGGAAACCTCTCCCTAGCATAAGGACAATATAGTTGGACTTGGGCGGTTACAATTTTCGTAAATCGTATAGAAACGAAAGACGACTGAACGTGGAAGAAGATTAAGAAAACTTGTTGGTTTTGATGAACTGATATCATACAGGAAAATATGAGGTTTGGAGGCTGCGAGTTACCCAAGGCAATTGATGCAGAAGCATCCTCCTCCTTAGCAGCAGAGACGCCAAGCAGCTCTGCTGAATCAAATGGTTGCTCAGCTCTATTTTTTGGCTTCATTGCCACACTGCCTGCACTACTCGTTCTCCTCTCACTCGAGGAATTTCATGTCTAACTTGTAGAGGTTGGGTTGAGTTGGGTTGGGTTGTATTCAAATAAATTAAGGATTCGTAAGCTCTTCTAGAATTAATTTGGTGAAGCGGGCCAACTCAAATTTATTAATTTGAGAAAAAGAATATACATTTTTACTTAACTACAAACATCCCATTTAAGAAGTTTGTGATTCTTAATTTTGCTAACAAAACATTTCAAAAAAATTTATATATAAAAAAAAAAAAAAAAAAAAAAAAAAAAAAAAAAAAAAAAAAAAAAAAAAAAAAA